TATTATTACCATTTTATATTTACACCAGGAAACAGACTCAGAGAAAAGGTAGATTACTTACTTAAAGCTGTGATTTGACCCTTAGAGGCCTGAGTCTAGAATCTGTCCCCTCGTCCTGCTGGTTAGCTCAGGTGTTTGAGCACCTGCTCATGCAAATCCCCACCTCCACCTGCATTACCAGACCTGCCCTTAAGGCCGCCTGAACCAGCCCCCCACAAAAAAAAAATCGTTAGAATCTGCCTCCTTAAACTCTGATGTGCTGCCTGAAAGTCACTAATCTTTCCCAGACTTTCTGATTGTATTAGCTAGGACGTGTAAGCTTTGTATTGGAATGTCTCTGAATTTTGTTGATCTTCCATTTTAGCAAAGAGAAAAAACCTCAGCCCTGAGCCACACTTAGGCAACAGAAAGTACTTAGTGTCCAGTAACTTTCAGTTCTGCTGTATCAATTGTTACATTACTTTTTTCTGCAAGTGACTTTGGTTTCTATTTATAGGGTTGATATAAAATTTCCATGCAAATTAAGCCTATTTTAGTTAAAAAGAAAGGTAATCTAAAGAAAAATATTAAATACCAAGTACCACTAGTAGTGTCACATAAATACCAAGTACTGCTATAAATGCTCAAAAATGTGTGAGGGCCATTCATTAATATATCAATGCACTCATAATGTTTTGTCTTTTATAGGCATTAGGGTTACAAAGTAGATATTTTCTGTCCTCATGGGGGTTATAGTTGAGTGAAGAAACAGAACACAGACAAGTACTAATATGTTGGCTTGCAAAGGATTTAAGTATTGGAAGGAAGGAACTAAAAGAGGGAGGAGGACAGGAAAGAATGGAAGTCATCCCTGGAGGAAAAAGAAGTGTAATCTTCACTTTTTGAGTTGTTCTGTCAGAATCCTCATGCTGCGGTATGGAGCTCAGTATACTCCCTTTAGCTCGCCATTGCAGTTTTTACTACATAGCAGAATTTTTAGCCTTGACAATATTGACATAGGAGCTCAGATAATTCTGTTGCTGAGTGTTGCCTGCATTGCAGGGCATAGAGCAGCATCCTTGGTACCACCCAGGATGCCAGAAGCACCTCCCCCTTTCCCAGAGTTGTGACAGCAGAAGCTATCTCCAAAAATGCCAGATGTCTTCAGGGGTGGAAACCTTTGATATCCACAGTTCTCTAAGTTTGGGGACAGTCTTCATTTTACTCCAGGAAAAGTTTGCACCTTCAAAAAATTATCCCCATGTTGTGAGGAACCAGAATTGAGACTTCTCAAACCCCTTCTCGAAGTTATGAGTCTCCCTTCTTCAACAGGGCACCACTTTCCTAAACCTGACATGATTTCATATCTGGAAGAAGAGGCATCAAGAACAATGGAGGAAGACAGCAATACAATGATGTTTCAGAGTGGTAAAGCCTACAGAGATGGGAATTGTGGGAGGGCATGACCCCACCTGGTTGGTTGGATGGGGGCTGGGACGTGCTGGTCAGGACCCTTCCTCAAAGGCCACCCAGCTTGCGAAGAGGCTGGTAGGTGTTGGCATTTCAGGGCCTCTCTGTCTTCAGTACTCCCCCTCAGTTTCTTTCCAGAGCTTATCTTTTCCTGCAATAGCAGCTCTTCTTGTTTCCAGCTTCAGGCAGGCCAGTTTCCCTTTTCTCGTGTTGAACCCTTCCATTCATTTGTGCCTTTTTCTTTGTAGCTAGAATCAAAGATCTTTCTTTTTTAACTGAGATAAAGGGAAAGCCTTGGCAAGATGTGACCTCTCTTTCCCACTACATGCACCAACTCCCAGTCCCTCAATTTGTGAACAGCCAAATACTTCCTTCACTTCTGTTCCCTTCCCTGTATGGGTTGGCCCATGTAGAAATCTAGAAGATATTATTGGCAGAAGGGAAGCACATAAAGAGATGTCTGTAACAAACTTGGGTGTTCCAGAAAGAGGCAGAAAGGCTGCATGGTCTGAGTGAGATAGAGGGAGACAATAGTTGAGGTCACAGAAATAGACAAGCTCCAGCCCATGAATGGCTAGTTAGGGAGCATGGATTTCATTCTGAGTGAGTTGCAAAGGTAGTGGAAGGTGTTGAACAGAGGAATGAGGTGGCAGTATTGATATTTTAGAACTATGCTGTCCAGTATGGTAGTCACTAATTGCATGTGGCTACTGAAGCTTGTTGAAGTGTATAAGAATTTGAAATGTATTGTCTTGGTCATGCCAACCACATTTTAAGAACTTGATAACCACTTGTGTCCCATGACTACTGTAGTAGCAGAAATGCAGACTGTTGTTTATTGTAGTAGAGAGTTCAATTTGGCAGCACTATCCTAGAAAGATCCATTTGGTTGCTCCACAGAGAGTGGGTAGGATAATGGAGAAACTGGCACAGGGGTCTTTTGAAGTCCATTTGGCTATGTGGGTAGACACTGGGCCTATAATTTTTTTTTTTAAAGTTTCTGTGCTCCAAAGTTCTGAGTTTTATTTTTTATTTTATTTTTAAATTTTTAAAATTAATTTATTTTTGTGTGTGTGTGTGGCCAGCTCAGCCCACCTGGGGGCGGGGCTGGCTGGCATGTGGTGCTGGCGG